CACAAGCCCATGTACTTTTTCCTGACCAACCTTTCCATCTTGGACATCCTGCTCACCACCATCACCATCCCCCGAATGCTGGCCATGTTCTTGATCAATGCCAAGTCGGTCTCCTCCAAGGGATGCTTCTTGCAGATGTACTTCTTCCACGGGCTGGCGGTGACGGAGACCTTTCTCCTGGTGGTGATGTCCTACGACCGCTACGAGGCCATCTGCCATCCCTTGCACTACGCGGTCCGGATGACCAAGCAGAAGAACCTGCAGTTGGCTGCTGGAGCTTGGCTCTGCGCGCTGCTGGTCCCCATCCAGCGGTTGTCCAGTCGTTTCAGCTGACCTTTCGCCAGGCGCCCAGGGTCAACCACTGCTTCTGCGACCACTTGGCGGTGGTCCAGGCCGCTTGCCAAAATGCCTACACCACGTTCCAGAGTTTTCTGGGCTTTACCATTTCTATGACTGTCGCCTTTGGCCCCCTGCTGCTTGTGGTCATCTCCTACACCTGCATCATGGTCTCTGTCTTGCAGATCAGATCCAAGGAAGGCCGCAGGAAGACTTTCTCCACTTGCTTCTCCCACCTGGTGGTGGTCATCACATACTACTTCTCCATTGCTCTGGCCTTTCTCTCCTACCGTGTTCAGATGCCCAGCGACATCCACATTCTGAGCGACATGACTTTTGCCATTTTAACGCCTTTGGTCAACCCTCTGATTTACACTCTGAGAAACAGGGACATCAAGAGGGCAGTGAGACAGCTGGCGTCCTCAAAAGTCTTCTCCATGCAGAAAGAAAGGCTCCGTTTAGAGCAAGTGGGTCTCCAAGGAGACTTAAAACCGTGTTTTAATTAATGGGGGTTTTCTATTAGTGGAGCCCTTTAATTTAAATTAGATTTCTGCGTACCTAATTACATTCGCTCCAGGACTTGTTAGTCTTCTCTAACTAAGAGCTGGTAAACTCTTGTATATTTTGTTGAAAAGAGCCTTAAAACATTTTTATGTTTTATTTTCCGCCTATTGCACTATATTTGCCTGATAAGAAATCATAATTTCAGCCAGATATTATTTGTGAATCGAAAAGAGTTGTGTTACATTTGCTGATAAGCCTAAATTGAAGACAAAGCCAATAGGATGAAGCCTACAAGCATCTGGGCATTTTGCAGTTAACATCAAGCATAGACAAATTAAAAATGGGATTAATAATAATCATGTGCTTTGGAGAATAGATGGAACCCACTCTTCATATGAAGAATGGTTGCTGGAATTGGGCATGTCTAGTTTAATGAAAAGAAGGACTAGGGGAGACATGATAGTAGTGTTCCAATATCTCTGGGGTTGCCCCAAAGAAGAGGAAGTCAAACTATTCTCCAAAGCACCTGAGGATAAAACAAGAAGCAAGGGGTAGAAACTAATCAAGGAGAGAAGCAATTTAGAACTAAGGAGAAATTGCCTGACAGTTAGAACAATTAATCAGTGGAACAACCTGCCTGCAGAAGTTGTGAATGCTCCATTAAAAATGGAAATTTTTAAGAAGAGATAGGACAACCATTTGTCTGAAGTGGTGTAGGATTTCCTGCCTGGGCAGGGGGTTGGACTAGAAGACCTCCAAGGTCCCTTCCAACTCCATTATTCTATATTCTATATTCTTTGGGGCAGCCCCTCAAATATTGGAAGACTGCTATCATCCCCCCCCTCTCCTTCTCTTCATTAAAGCAGACAGACCCAATTCCTGCAACTGTTCATCATATGGTTTAGCCTCCAGAGAACCAAATGAGAACTAAAGACAAAATTTAATAGTAGAAACACCCTCAAAAGCATCAGTTCCCAGATTCATGATTCAATACACGGCTTGAATTATTAACTGAATACTAGCTGAACTGGACAGACCGGCTCAAGAGACTAAAAATTAATTACTTTTTGCTGTATAGAGGGCCTCTTCCTGAGTTCCTGATAGATGGCACATCTTAGACATCAGAATAGTCAGCCAAAAATAATAGTTTGGACTTACTGGAACACTTTGGTTTAGGAAAGAAATGGCCCAAGCCTTGTGTTATTGGAGATGCACTGAGAAGAATTGTTCATTAAAACGTATTTTTGCACCCTCCTAAAGTTATTGTGTGTTTGGAAGAACTGATTATATATATTAATCTGACTCTGATGTTTTAATAGCTTTGAATGTCCATATTTTGTTGGTGATATGTTTATTACATCAGGGGTCCCCAATCCCCGGTCCATGGACTGGCACCAGTCCCCAACTCCCTCCAATCCATGGAAAACCTGTCTTCACAGAACCAGTGCCCAAAAGATTGTGAGCACCCCAAAAGGTGGTGAGACACATCGACCTACAACCAGCCTACGAACCCCTCAGAATCCAAATCAACCCCACAGCCAACCAGCGATGGCACCGACCCTCAACCAACCCACACATGCCCCCCCCCAACCAGCACTTCATCACTCAGTGACCCTCACCTGATATGACCTCCCCATCACAAGACCCATCACAAGGGCCTCACCTGATGGGACCCACACACCTGACCCATCACACGACCTACGGACCACACAAAGCCTTTATGAGCAGAAAAACACAGATGCAGACATTCCTTAAACTCCGCTGAAGATGTTACCTAGCCTGGTAATGAAACCTTCAGAAACCAATTCACAAGCTTGGAGAAAGAACCTCCACCCTCAGCTGCTGTATTACTCCTTCTCCTCTTCCTCCTCTTCCTCCTCATCCCATTCTCCATCTCCTCCTCTCTGCAAACCCTCACTCTTCTAGCACTGATGATATTCCCTAGTTGAGTCATGAAATGTCTGCAAGAAAAGAAGCTGAGAGAACACTAAGGACCCCACAATCCTTCTTCTCCTTCTTCTCCTTCTCCTTCTCCTTCTCCTTCTCCTTCTCCTTCCTTCTCCTTCTCCTTCCCCTTGTCTTCCTTCTCATTCTCCTCCCTCTCCTTCTCCTGCCTCCTTTTTCCTTCCTCTTTTTTTTCCTTTCTCCTTTAGCACTGATGATATTTATGATATTTATTTAGCACTTATGAGCCTGGGTGGCGCAGCAGACTAAAGCACTGTTAAGTAACACCAGCTGCCTGCAATTACTGCAAGTTCAAATCTCACCAGGCTCAAGGTTGACTCAGCCTTCCATCCTTCCGAGGTCGGTAAAATGAGGACCCGGATTGTGGGGGAAATAAGCTGACTTTGCAGAAAAAAGAACACCCCTTGGGGGGGGGGGGCGAAAGCCCTACTAAGCAGGTATATACAAAAGTATGAAGGCTATTGCTTAAAAGCATTGTAAGTGTCAGATGTAAATGCCTTATTCTCCAATGTGTAAATAATGTATATATGGAACATCAGGGTTAACTTATTCTTTGGACTTTAATGTATTCATAACTTACCACTCCCATTCCTAGCTCCACCCCTTGTATATATAAGGAGCCACCCTCACCATTCTCGTTGCTTCTACCTCGAATATTCAGTGAATATAGAATGCCTATCATAATTAAAAAGAAATATATTTAAAGCTTTAACTTCTATTATCTTTATTGAGTCTGATCCTGAAAATATTGCAACAAGCTGGTAGCAGAGGATGGTTAATTGACTCAATAAGTAATTAAAAATGTCCAAGAAAGATAGGCCCAACACCAGGGCCTACAGCAAAGAAATAGAAACTGATCAAGAGATGATCAACGAATCCACCAATGCGATTTCGAGAGAATCCGAAGAATACACCACTGAAGAAGAAGAACTAATGAGTGAAAATAATGACCAGAAAGAAATCGAAATAGAAAATAACGAACTCAGGTCAGAGATAGGGAAGGGAAGGGAAGGGAAGGGAAGGGAAGGGAAGGGAAGGGAAGAGAGAATAGAATAGAATAGAATAGAATAGAATAGAATAGAATAGAATAGAATAGAATAGAATAGAATAGAATAGAATAGAATAGAATAGAATAGAATAGAATAGAATTCTTCATTGACCAAGTGTGATTGGACACACACATATTTTATTTTATTTTATTATTTGCATGCTTGTAACTATTTTTCTACACATGCATGCCCAAGATTAACTAATTTAAAATGAACAAGAATGCACTGCTCCCATGACCATAATTCTTAGAATATGTTGCCCCGAAACACTAAACGTATAATAGAGATGTGTATTTATTTATTTGTTTGTTTGTTTGTTAAATTTATATGCTGCCCATCTCGCTGATAAGGCAACTCTGGGCAGCTTATAAACAGGTAAATATAAAAACAATTAAAATCGTTGATTTATATTAAGAGAGAGAGAGAGAGAATACTTTTATATAAGTACTGTATAATAATAAAATATATAATAATTCTTATCATAATTCTCTTGAGTTTCGTTTTTATGCTTTCCACATTTTAGTCTCATATCCATAAGAGAGATGAGTCTTAATTTTATTTCAATCGATGGTTTGGCCAGCGGGCCTGGGGACCCCATTGGGGACACAGAGTCCATCAAATGGTTGGTTTGAGGTTGGGAGTTCATTAGGTTTTGAGATGGGATTTTATTTCTGAAAGCGAGTGAGTGAGTTGGGTGGCCATATAAATTTTCTTAATAAATAAACATTTAAAAAGGAGCAGTGGATCAAGGAGAGAATCAACCCGGAACTAAGGAGAAATGACACGACAGTGGGAACAATGAATCAGTTTGCCACCAGAAGTTGTGGGGGCTCCATCACTGGAGGCTTTCAAGAAGACATCGGACAACCATTTGTCTGAAATGGTCTAGGGTCTTCTGCTTGATCAGTGGGCTGGATTCGAAGACCTTCAACTCCGGTATTCTGTTTAAAAAATAGAGGAACTCATGTGCATTCCAGAACATCTATGGTAGCCAAGTTGTTTTAGAGCAGTGTTTCTCAACCTTGGAAGCTTGAAGATGGGTGGACTTCAACTCCCAAAATCCCCCAGCCAGCAGCGCTGGCTGGGGGATTCTGGGAGTTGAAGTCCACCCATCTTCAAGCTACCAAGGTTGAGAAACACTGTTTTAGAGGTACAAAATGTGGTTGTTGTAAGCTGCCTCAAGATTCTGGAGAAGAAAGTGATAAATAAGATAACGATCAATTAGAATAAACTCAAGTAGCTCAATGGTTAGAAGGACTTTGCAGAGGTATTTATGGGCAAAGCTGACACTCTCCTCTCCTCCGGTATCTCCTTTTTCGTTTACTAGACCCCTTGAGCCTTTCACAAAAAATGGAGAGTTGCAACTTCACGGGGGGTTCCGTCCCATCCTTCTGGCTTGTCGGCTTCCCCAGCCTCCAGGATCACCAGTTCCCCCTCTTTTTCGTCTTCCTCGCCTTCTACCTGCTCATCCTTTCCAGTAACGCCACCATCATCGTGGCCGTGGCCACCGACCCCAAACTCCACAAGCCCATGTACTTTTTCCTGACCAACCTTTCCATCTTGGACATCCTGCTCACCACCATCACCATCCCCCGAATGCTGGCCATGTTCTTGATCAATGCCAAGTCGGTCTCCTCCAAGGGATGCTTCTTGCAGATGTACTTCTTCCACGGGCTGGCGGTGACGGAGACCTTTCTCCTGGTGGTGATGTCCTACGACCGCTACGAGGCCATCTGCCATCCCTTGCACTACGCGGTCCGGATGACCAAGCAGAAGAACCTGCAGTTGGCTGCTGGAGCTTGGCTCTGCGCGCTGCTGGTCCCCATCCAGCCGGTTGTCCAGTCGTTTCAGCTGACCTTTCGCCAGGCGCCCAGGGTCAACCACTGCTTCTGCGACCACTTGGCGGTGGTCCAGGCCGCTTGCCAAAATGCCTACACCACGTTCCAGAGTTTTCTGGGCTTTACCATTTCTATGACTGTCGCCTTTGGCCCCCTGCTGCTTGTGGTCATCTCCTACACCTGCATCATGGTCTCTGTCTTGCAGATCAGATCCAAGGAAGGCCGCAGGAAGACTTTCTCCACTTGCTTCTCCCACCTGGTGGTGGTCATCACATACTACTTCTCCATTGCTCTGGCCTTTCTCTCCTACCGTGTTCAGATGCCCAGCGACATCCACATTCTGAGCGACATGACTTTTGCCATTTTAACGCCTTTGGTCAACCCTCTGATTTACACTCTGAGAAACAGGGACATCAAGAGGGCAGTGAGACAGCTGGCGTCCTCAAAAGTCTTCTCCATGCAGAAAGAAAGGCTCCGTTTAGAGCAAGTGGGTCTCCAAGGAGACTTAAAACCGTGTTTTAATTAATGGGGGTTTTCTATTAGTGGAGCCCTTTAATTTAAATTAGATTTCTGCGTACCTAATTACATTCGCTCCAGGACTTGTTAGTCTTCTCTAACTAAGAGCTGGTAAACTCTTGTATATTTTGTTGAAAAGAGCCTTAAAACATTTTTATGTTTTATTTTCCGCCTATTGCACTATATTTGCCTGATAAGAAATCATAATTTCAGCCAGATATTATTTGTGAATCGAAAAGAGTTGTGTTACATTTGCTGATAAGCCTAAATTGAAGACAAAGCCAATAGGATGAAGCCTACAAGCATCTGGGCATTTTGCAGTTAACATCAAGCATAGACAAATTAAAAATGGGATTAATAATAATCATGTGCTTTGGAGAATAGATGGAACCCACTCTTCATATGAAGAATGGTTGCTGGAATTGGGCATGTCTAGTTTAATGAAAAGAAGGACTAGGGGAGACATGATAGTAGTGTTCCAATATCTCTGGGGTTGCCCCAAAGAAGAGGAAGTCAAACTATTCTCCAAAGCACCTGAGGATAAAACAAGAAGCAAGGGGTAGAAACTAATCAAGGAGAGAAGCAATTTAGAACTAAGGAGAAATTGCCTGACAGTTAGAACAATTAATCAGTGGAACAACCTGCCTGCAGAAGTTGTGAATGCTCCATTAAAAATGGAAATTTTTAAGAAGAGATAGGACAACCATTTGTCTGAAGTGGTGTAGGATTTCCTGCCTGGGCAGGGGGTTGGACTAGAAGACCTCCAAGGTCCCTTCCAACTCCATTATTCTATATTCTATATTCTTTGGGGCAGCCCCTCAAATATTGGAAGACTGCTATCATCCCCCCCTCTCCTTCTCTTCATTAAAGCAGACAGACCCAATTCCTGCAACTGTTCATCATATGGTTTAGCCTCCAGAGAACCAAATGAGAACTAAAGACAAAATTTAATAGTAGAAACACCCTCAAAAGCATCAGTTCCCAGATTCATGATTCAATACACGGCTTGAATTATTAACTGAATACTAGCTGAACTGGACAGACCGGCTCAAGAGACTAAAAATTAATTACTTTTTGCTGTATAGAGGGCCTCTTCCTGAGTTCCTGATAGATGGCACATCTTAGACATCAGAATAGTCAGCCAAAAATAATAGTTTGGACTTACTGGAACACTTTGGTTTAGGAAAGAAATGGCCCAAGCCTTGTGTTATTGGAGATGCACTGAGAAGAATTGTTCATTAAAACGTATTTTTGCACCCTCCTAAAGTTATTGTGTGTTTGGAAGAACTGATTATATATATTAATCTGACTCTGATGTTTTAATAGCTTTGAATGTCCATATTTTGTTGGTGATATGTTTATTACATCAGGGGTCCCCAATCCCCGGTCCATGGACTGGCACCAGTCCCCAACTCCCTCCAATCCATGGAAAACCTGTCTTCACAGAACCAGTGCCCAAAAGATTGTGAGCACCCCAAAAGGTGGTGAGACACATCGACCTACAACCAGCCTACGAACCCCTCAGAATCCAAATCAACCCCACAGCCAACCAGCGATGGCACCGACCCTCAACCAACCCACACATGCCCCCCCCCCAACCAGCACTTCATCACTCAGTGACCCTCACCTGATATGACCTCCCCATCACAAGACCCATCACAAGGGCCTCACCTGATGGGACCCACACACCTGACCCATCACACGACCTACGGACCACACAAAGCCTTTATGAGCAGAAAAACACAGATGCAGACATTCCTTAAACTCCGCTGAAGATGTTACCTAGCCTGGTAATGAAACCTTCAGAAACCAATTCACAAGCTTGGAGAAAGAACCTCCACCCTCAGCTGCTGTATTACTCCTTCTCCTCTTCCTCCTCTTCCTCCTCATCCCATTCTCCATCTCCTCCTCTCTGCAAACCCTCACTCTTCTAGCACTGATGATATTCCCTAGTTGAGTCATGAAATGTCTGCAAGAAAAGAAGCTGAGAGAACACTAAGGACCCCACAATCCTTCTTCTCCTTCTTCTCCTTCTCCTTCTCCTTCTCCTTCTCCTTCTCCTTCTCCTTCTCCTTCTCCTTCCCCTTGTCTTCCTTCTCATTCTCCTCCCTCTCCTTCTCCTGCCTCCTTTTTCCTTCCTCTTTTTTTCCTTTCTCCTTTAGCACTGATGATATTTATGATATTTATTTAGCACTTATGAGCCTGGGTGGCGCAGCAGACTAAAGCACTGTTAAGTAACACCAGCTGCCTGCAATTACTGCAAGTTCAAATCTCACCAGGCTCAAGGTTGACTCAGCCTTCCATCCTTCCGAGGTCGGTAAAATGAGGACCCGGATTGTGGGGGAAATAAGCTGACTTTGCAGAAAAAAGAACACCCCTTGGGGGGGGGGGCGAAAGCCCTACTAAGCAGGTATATACAAAAGTATGAAGGCTATTGCTTAAAAGCATTGTAAGTGTCAGATGTAAATGCCTTATTCTCCAATGTGTAAATAATGTATATATGGAACATCAGAGGTTAACTTATTCTTTGGACTTTAATGTATTCATAACTTACCACTCCCATTCCTAGCTCCACCCCTTGTATATATAAGGAGCCACCCTCACCATTCTCGTTGCTTCTACCTCGAATATTCAGTGAATATAGAATGCCTATCATAATTAAAAAGAAATATATTTAAAGCTTTAACTTCTATTATCTTTATTGAGTCTGATCCTGAAAATATTGCAACAGTAAGCCGCCCTGAGTCTCCGGAGAAGGGCGGCATATAAATCGAACCAATAAATAAATAAATAAATATTCCCTAGTTGAGTCATGAAATGTCTGCAAGAAAACAAACTGAGAGAACACCAAGGACCCCACAATCCTTGTCCTTGTCCTTGTCCTCCTTCTCCTTCCTCCTTTTTCCTTCCTCTTTTTTCCTTTCTCCTCTAGCACTGATGACATTCCCTAGTTGGGTCATAAAACGTCTGCAAGAAAACCATCCAACCTCAGAGCACCAAGAAACCCTCATTTCAGCCCTGAGCGACAAAATATTCTCCTTTATCACTATTCACTATTTCTAATGACTGGAAAAAAGAGGACTACTCACCTATCAGGAGCTCTGCGTAGCTTCTAGCGTTGTCACTACTCACATCTGGGGTTTAAGAAGTAAGGCGCTTCCAACTGACAAGCATACATCTGGATTTTTTTTTCGGACTTCAAGCATTGCTCTAATCTCAGTCTTTTAATTTTCAACTTCTCCAGACCATCAATAAACGGAAGAGCCCCAGTCAAGAGATTTGAGGAAATTATTTCTTTTCTTGCCGTGCAGAGCGAGTCCTATTAACCATGGAATCTCAGGAAGAGTTTGAATTTTCCCATTCAGTGTCTTCACTTCCTGAAGAGGAGAAAGACCAAGAGTGGCCTTGAAAAAGAAAATGCAAGGGAAAAAAAAAAATCACAATTACAATCAACACTTTTTCTCAAAATTCATAAAAGTTCACTAGGAATGAAGAAGCTGCAAAGATGGTCCTCAACTTACGACAATTCATTTAGTGACCAAAGTTACAACGGCACTGAAAAAAAGTGACTTATGACGGATTTTCACACACATATGACCATTGTAGCAACTTCCTGGTCATGTAATTAAAATTCAGACGCTTAACAACTTAACAACTGGAGCGAGTCACTTAACACCTACGACATAAAATGGGGCAAAATTCCCTTAACAACCGTCTTGGTTAGCAATGGAAATTTTGGGCTCAGTTGCGGTCCTAAGTCGAGGACGACCTATATATAAAATATAATGCCTTAGTAGACTTTAAAAATGAGCTGAGGACTAATCGACAAATGCTGTTTTGTTTTGAGAAAGCCAAGCTGGAGGAGTAAATTCCCATTAGCATGAAAGCAAGCTGGGTGACTTTGAGCCTGTCATGATCTCTCAGCCCAGACCACCTCACAAGGTTGTTATTGTGGGGAAAATAGGAAGAGAAAGATATGGTGGATATCTTCATCTTCTTGAGTTACTTGGAAAACTAATAAAGGCAGGATTCAAATTAAATAAAAACAAGAAAGAAAGAAAGAAAGAAAGAAAGAAAGAAAGAAAGAAAGAAAGAAAGAAAGAAAGAAGGAAGAAGAAGAAAGGAAGAGGAGGGGAAAGAAAGAAAGGGAGGGAGGGAAGGAGGAAGGAAAAGAAAAAGAGAAAAAGAAAGAAAGAAGAAAGAAAGAAGAAAGAAAGAAAGAAAGAGAAAGAGAGAGAGAGAGAAAGGAAGGAAGGAAGGGAAAGAAAGAAAGAAAGAAAGAAAAAGAAAGAGAGAGAGAGAAAGGAAGGAAGGAAGGGAAAGTAAGGAAGAAAGTAAGGAAGAAAGAAAGAAAGAAAGAAAGAAAGAAAGAAAGAAAGAAAGAAAGAAAGAAAGAAAGAAAGAAAGAAAGAAAGACGAAGACAAGGGCAAAGAGATCTGCAAAGGAGGCCATCTTTGCAGATCTCATGAAGGATACCCCCTCTCATGAGGATGCCTTTGTGGAGCCAGCTTTTCGACAAGGGAAGGCTCTCTGCACATGGTCAGAGACACTCTCAGGGGATTGTTTACAGGGGTGCCCAAACAAAGTCAAGGCAGGCCCAGAGTTTACATCATTACAGCTATAGTGTTTTCTTGCCAGAAAATAAAGGCTAGGCCTCAAAAAAGGTTTGGACAAATCTGAAAGAAATAATAAAGCTGTCATTCTTTATGTTTATAACTTTGCTTTTACGAAGAGGAAAATTCGAGAGCCAAACTGAGGAAATCAATCATGAAATGAAATAAATCTAATGGGCAGCTTTCCAAAAGAAAGTCAGATAAAATAAAATAAAGATAAAATAAAGACTGTCCTTGAAAAGAAAGGACGTGTGTTCTCCACTCTGTGCAGGTCCTAAATAAATATATATTTAGTTATTTGCTAAATTGACAAAGCTGCCCATTTCACAGTTCGCCGGGTAGAGCTTTGGTTTGGGTGGCCCCAACCGCCATCTTGACTTTTTTGACCTCCGTTCTCTAGCCAGGTTTGCTCTTTTCCTTTTTGACAGGCCGGCCCTTGCTTTTCCCTTCAGAAGGGCTAGAACTCTGCACATGCCCAGAGGAAATGGCTCAGCAGGCCCTTTTGGGGTGGGGCATCACCTGGAGGGGGAAGAAGTAGCTGCTGTCGGAGGGGGGCTCTGAACCCACTTAATCGAGGGGTCACAGAGGCCCTGATGCTCCTGCCAGCGGCCTAGCAGTTGCCTTCATCCCTCTAGCTGCTGCTTGGTTGCCCCGGGCAACGGCCCACAGCGAGAGGAAGGCCAGGCAAAGGACCACTATGGGCGGGGCTAGAGCAGAGGGGGTGGAGCCTCCACCTGGGGCAAATGGATGCTCTTAGTCCTTTTTCCAGCAGATTTCAACTGACTTTGACTCCCAGAATTCCCTAGCCATAATAGGTGGACTTCAACTCCCAGAATTCCCCAGCCAGCATGCTTTAAGATGGGTGGACGTTGACTCCCAAAATTACCTAGCCAACACGGGTGAATTTTGACTCCCAGAATTCCCTAGCCAACGTGGGGGGACTTCAATTCCCAGAAATCTCCAGACAACATGGTTGGACTTCGACTCCCAGAATTCCCCAACCAGCATGTTGGCTGGGGAATTCTGGGATTTGAAATCTGTGCATCATATGAGAACCACTGCCCTAGAATATGTGGTGTACACTATAATAAACTGTTGATTTTTTTTAAAAAAAAATCAGTTTAATTACAGTACTGTGTCCTATTGTCGCCCTGAAATTTTTGTGTGTGTTATCTATTTTTTCCATATCATCATCATTATTACTACTACATCTAAGTTGTTACCTTCTTTCCATATTATTATCAATTGTGTTAGTATTATTATAATACTACTACATTACTACTACGTCATTAGTACTATTACACTACTGGTATTTGGTTGTGTTATCTATTATTACTAGACTTTTTTATTCCATCAAGTGGGCTTGGCCTAATCTCCCCCCTCTTTTAATATGTAAATTTTAATCTGTTTTTAAATTATTGGGGTGTTTTAATCTGTCTGGGTCAAAATGATTTAATTTGATTTTATCTGGTTTTAAATTTTGTGTATTTATGTATTTTATTGCTTGGCTGTTCACCGCCCTGAGTCCTTCGGGAGTAGGGCGGTATACAAATCAAAAAAAAAAAAAAACTATTCTGTTTATAGTTTTGATTTTAAACATTCCTGCTGTGCAGATTTCAATTAATTTTATTAGTGCTTATTTGTTTATTTTCTGATTATGTGCTTTCTGCCAATCAACAAAACATTTTGCATGCCCTTTGATCTTTTTTCTAGAGATACTGTTTTTTTTCCTGTTTGTCATTTTTTTCAGTTTTTATTTATTAATAGTATATTATTTGTGTGCTGCTCTAGTTAGTGGCTCCCTGAGTTTATTTAATGTTTGTGAAATTTACGTCCTGGCTTTCTCTAATCACCTGATCTGACAACATGCAAATAGAATAAATAAGCAAATAAATTTGTCAATATGCAAATAAAATAAGTAAGCAAATAAATTGGGAATATGCAAATGGAATAAGCGAGCAAGTAAATTTGGCAATATGCAAATAGATTAAGTAAGCAAATAAATTTTGCCATTGTGCAAATAGAATAATTAAGTAAAACCCTTCTCCAGTTTTATCCACAAACCAAGCCTGGGAATTAGGAATAAATTATAATTAATGTACAATAGTTTATTCAGTTTAGGCACTGCCTAATTCCGAACTGACTCTGCCCAACGTACAATAGAAACAGAAAATACAATTTTAGCAAAATTGTATCAAAGAATCAAAACATTTTCTGATTTCTATGAAAAATACAACCTTCCTTAGCATGCTTTTGAAATTGCACTATGCATTTTAATGGCCAATTTTTAAACAATAATAATAATCCCCACCATCCTGATTATCCTATTATTATAATACTGTATATTTATATTATTATATATTATTATAATTATATTATCATTATTATTATATTATAAGAGCTATTATTAGCTCTTATCTCTGTTCTTCTCTTTCAGAGCTCAAGGCAGCTTCCTGGTTATTTCTCCTAATTTTGTCTTCACAACAACCCTGTGAGGTAGGAAGGGCAGGACCTGTGGACTAAAATTACCCAGAAGCCTCTGCAGCTCCGCCTGCTTTCCTGTCTACTGGGAGATGCAAGCTGCTTTCATTGGAAGCCTGGGGAGAGGTGGGGCTTGGACTTGATTGGCAGCTGAAGGGGTGGGGCATGAGGAAGGCGGGACATGGGGTAGAGACTGCTTCTCAAAAACATGAAGGAGGCGGGGCTGAGTTAAGGAGCCAATCGGAGAGCAGTAGGGTGGATCCAGAAGGAGGACGGTTTGGTCCTGAGTGGCCATTGAAACTTGGAATCTGAGGAGGCGGGGCTTTATACCCAAGGGGTGGGGCTTCAGGGCAGGTGACAGTTGGAACCGTGAGGAGGGAGGGGCTTCAGCAAAATGGCGGAGAGGGAGCAGCTCTTTCCTTGGTGGAGGCTGGAGGTGCCACGTTTGGGGGTCTTGCTGCTGCTCCTCCTCTTCCTCAGTCCTGGTGGGTGCAAAGAGTGGGAGAAACAACCCCCCCATGTCAGTTTACCCCCCCCAGGGGGCTGCACATGTGTGTTTAAATCACACGCATGCCAACTTCATATGTGTAAATGCTCCAATCCATTGTACAGGTTGTCCTCAAATTACGACCTCAATTGAGTCCACCGTTTATGTTGCGAAGTGAGTTTTGCCCCCATTTTTACGATCTCTCTGGCCACCGTTGTTAAGTGAATCACTGAAATTGCTAAGTGAACAACACCGTTGTTAAGTGAATCCAACTTCACCCATGGACTTGGCTAGTCAGAAATTTGCAAAAAGGGGACCAGGTGTCACTGCCACCGTCATAAATATGAGACAGTAGCCAAACATCCGATTTTTGATCATGTCACCATGAGGATGCTGCGACGGTTGTAAGTGTGAAAACCGATCATAAGTCACATTTTTCATGGCTGTTGTAGCTTTCGTCACTAAACAACCGATTATAAGTCAAGGGCTACCTATAAAACAGGAACTGGGGATGTCTAGTTTAATGAAAAGAAGGACTAGGGCAGTGGTGAAATCCAATTTTTTTTACTACTGGTTCTGTGGGCGTGGCTTGGTGGGTGTGGCTAGGTGGGCGTGGCAGGGGAAGAAGGTTAGCCATCACTGGTCTAGGGTTTTTTGCTTGAGCAGGGGGTTGGACTAGAAGACCTCCAAGGTCCCTTCTTCCAGCTCCGTGATTCTATAAGGTAAAAAAACCATTAAAATATTAAAATATCAGAACTACACAGATTAAAGTTTTAAAAACAATGCTGAAACCGGAACTAAGAGACGGACGGGATTTATTTATTTATTTATTTATTTATTTATTTATTTATTTATTTTTATTTTTATTTTTATACCGCCCTTCTCCAACAGGACTCAGGGCGGTGAACAGCCGAGATAAAACATAACATATAAAATTTAAAAAACAGTTTAAAAGACATTAAATAATTTCGGGATGGGGATAAGGTTTTCTTACGCCATCATTAGGTGGCTGATGCGGTGGCTCAGTGGCTAAGACACTGAGCTTGTCGATCAGAAAGGTCGGCCATTCGCCGGTTCGAATCCCTAGTACAGGTCTCCTGCGTGAGCAGGGGGTTGGACTGGATGACCCCCAAGGTCCCTTCCAACTCTGTAACTGTTAGGGGAAAAAAAGAAAAGAAAAAGAAGCATTGACTTCCCACTCTCTCTGTTACAGTAAAATAAGGCATTTATAGGGGCGTGCATAAGAGCACCAGTGTCCCTACCGTCCCTGTCCTAATGTTTCTTCTATTTCTACCTATTTTATGTATCCAACCCATGCTTATACTTATTACCAAATACGTCCTTGACAAACAAAATAAATAAATAATAAATAAATAAAATCAGCCCCTCAACCCGTGAGTTGCTACTCAGAGCCCCAGTCCTACCGTCAAAACCATGCCAATCCTGCAAATATTACTTTTCTTTTCTCTCCATTTCTTTAAAGGTTTTGTCCGCACGTCTTCGACATACCTTTTTTCAGAAGTCATAGAGCCCCTGCAGCTGGAAACGCGCTCTCTTTACAACAGCAAAGTAAGTTTTGTTCGGATTCAAAACCGTTCCTGCGCACGTCATCCTGCCCCTCTCTGCCTGATTTGCACATAAACCTTTATCCGTAACAGTCAAGCCACAATGGCTGCGTTCGTGTATACTCAGTTCAGCCAAAACCAAGAAATGAATGGATCACATTCGAGGTTTGCAAAGATCACCAGCTTCACAGACCGTTCTTCGTTCTTATTGGTCTTGGAAGATCTTAGCTACTGCCATTTATAAACCATGGTTTATGTTTTGCTGTGATATGCAAAGCAATCCTCTTACGTTCCGGTCAAAAGATGGTTAGACAGGATTTGGTTTCTTCAGAACACGCCCCCACTTCTAAAAATCCAAAAATGTGGGGAAATGGGTGATTGAGAATTCTTGGAGCACAGGTAAATGAAAATTCCTGTTTAGTTTAGGTCTTCATTAAGATTTTGTTTTGTTTGTTTATTTTATTTATTTTAGGATAGGATAGGATAGGATTCAGAATTAGAGTAGACTAGAATGGAATAGAATGGAATGGAATAGAAGAATAGAATAGAATAGAATAGAATAGAATAGAATAGAATAGAATAGAATAGAATAGAATAGAATAGAATAGAATAGAATTCTTTATTGACCAAGTGTGATTGGACACACAAGGAATTTGTCTCTGGTGCATAAGCTCTCAGTGTACATAAAAGAAAAGATACGTTCGTCAAGAATCATAAGGGACAACACTTAATGATAGTCATAGGGTACAAATAAGCAATCAGGAAACAATATCGATATAAATTGTAAGGATCCAGCAACAAAGTTAGTCATAAGTGGAAGGAGATGGATGGTGGGAACGATGAGAAGATTAATAGTAATAGTAGTGCAGACTTAGTAAATAGTTTGACAACGTTGAGGGAATTATTTGTTTAGCAGAGTGATGGCGTTCAGGAAAAAACTGTCCTTGTGTCTAGTTGTTCTGGTGTGCAGTGCTCCATAGCGTCGTTTTGAGGGTAGGAGTTGAGACAGTTTATGTCCAGGATGCGAGGGGTCTGTAGATATTTTCCCAGCCCTCTTTTTGACTTGTGCAGTATACAGGTCCATGGAAGGCAGGTTGGTAATAACAGTTTTTTCTGCAGTTCTAATTATCCTCTGAAGTCTGCATCTGTCTCGTTAGAATAGGATAGGATAGGATAGGATAGGATAGGATAGGATAGGATAGGATAATAGGTAGAGTAGAGTAGAGTAGAGTAGAGTAGAGTAGAGTAAAATAGAATAGAGTAGAGTAGAATAGAATAGAATAGAGTAGAGTAGAGTAGAGTAGAGGATAGGATAGGATAGGATAGGATAGGATAGGATAGGATAGGATAGAATAGAATAGAATAGAATAGAATAGAATAGAATAGAATAGAATAGAATAGAATAGAATAGAACAGAACAGAATAGAATAGAATAGAATTCAGAATTCATGGAAATTTCTTTAGTCTCAAATTCCATGGGTTAAATTTGTTTGTTTAATTTGTACATGAATGATGAATCGTTATTTGCAGCGGCCTGGGAGAGAAGAACGGGAGGATAAAAAATATGAATGAACCGTTCTGCATTTTGTCCATCTAATTTCAGGCGCATTTGAGTTACATGATTAAAGTGGAAGGACAATACAGAATTGTGCACCTGAAACAACAGTAAGTGACTCCTTCCTTCTAATGGATCGTGTGGAGTAACTGATTCATTGCGTTTATCTCCTTCTAGATTTAAGAAAAGCAACTCCCAGTGGTTTATGTCATAAAACATAAAAACAAACGTTTTTTTAAAAAAAATCTCATCAATAACCATAAGTGGAAAATGGATAATACATAGAATGGTAGGACTGGAGGGGATCTTGAAGGTCATCTAGTCTAGCCCACTGCTCAGGCAGGAAACCCTACTCCATTTCAGACAAATGGTTGACTACTCTCTTCTCCAGTGATGCCTCGGCTGATTTATTTAATTTGTTTAAAGATGCACATGGCTGCCTATCTCATTCGCTGACGCCGGGCAGCATGGAATCGTTACCAGAAAAATAATAAAATTAAAGCAAGCAACCTTAAAAAGACAACCATCCTCAATTTACAGTAAGTGATGCAACCAATCAATCAACTTCCAGGCGCAAATGTCTGTGGAGGTAGCCAAGTCTTTTTCTTTTCTAACTGGCAATTGCTACTTAAAATGTTTTTATAATGGACTTTTCACATCTGCAATTACTCTCTATTTCTCTTTGAATATTTTGGATTGTTTTTTTTTAATCATTCCTCCTCATCCAAAACAATATTCTTTCTACAGAATATTGCAAAGTGTGGTGTAGATGGTATGAATGGTTGGAGAATAGGAAAAATGAGAAAGAGGAATAAAGGAGAGAGAGGAATAAAAATGTTGAAGATCAAGGTACAATGTGGACGAAATAAAGATGGAAAACAATTGTTGAATAAGACAAAGTTCAAATATGTGTAAATAGATGTAAATAGCAAGAAAGGATCACTTCGAAAGAGCTGTAGGAAAAAGTGATATGTATATAAATGTTGTGTGTTTGTGTCTTGTTTTAATGTATTCAAAATAAAAAACTTTTTTTTTAAAATACAATTTTATTGATTTTTTTTTTACACAAATAAAATATAGTAACAATTCTGTTTAACATCGGATTCGCAGTGTTTATACATATATACATGAGTAAGCGTCTGGTGTTGTTTATACTATACATTTCTAATTAATTTCTGCACCTTTTATTCCTTCCTTAATTCTATCATTTATCCATTCGTACCATCTTCCCCACACAGTATCATAATCAGAATTTTCATTGTCATTTATCTCGTGTGTTAATTTACTTATCTCTGCACACTCTAATATTTTATTACTTATAAGGTCATCTAGTGGTAGGTCTTTCTTTTTCCAGTATTGAGCGTATGCTAGTCTGGCAGCTGTAGTTATGTGTATTAGGAGGTGGACCTTTTCCTTTCCATACCCTTTCTTTACCATTCCCAGGAGAAATATTTCTGGATTCAAATCAATTTCTTCTTTAAGTATGTCTTTCAACCATCTCCGAATTTTGCTCCAGTACCTTTTTGCTTCGGGGCATGTCCACCACATATGAAAGAAGGTGCCATGACCATGGCCACATTTCCAACAGTTTGGCTGCGCATTGGGGAACATCTTTGCTAGTCTTGCAGGGGCTAAATGCCACCTATGAAGCATTTTGTAATTATTTTCCTTATACGTGGCTGCTCTTTTTCATAGGAAAAAGTGATATGTATATAAATGTTGTGTGTTCGTGTCTTGTTTTAATGTATTCAAAATAAAAAAACTTTTTAAAAAACCAATATTCTTTCTATCTTAGCTTGCCTTACTATGTAATATGTTGCTTATAAGGGGTCCATTCCTGCTCAATTCCTTTTTTTTTTTTTACATTTTCAGATTCTTTGCCCTGGAAAATATGCCGATTTATACTTACAATGTGAAAGGAGAGCTGGTTGCAGAATATCCATATGTCCAGGTAAATTTTATGCATGACAATACACAGTAATCTTATTGGTGGTGTCATTTATGGTCCATAAGTCTAGTGCAGGTAGTTCTCAACCTACGACCATAATGGGAGCCCCAAATTTATGTTGCCAACTGAGAAATTTGTTTAGTGATTTTGCCCCGTTTTACGACTTTCCTTGCCACGTTCGTTAAGCGAATCATGGCAGTCGTTAAATTAGTCACACGGTTGTGAAGTGAATCTGGCTTCCCCGTTGATTACTTTGCTCATCAGAAGGTCACAAAAAGGGATCATGGGATCCCGGGACACTGCGACAGTGGCCAAGCGTCTGGATTTTAATCAAGTGACCATGCGGATGTTGCAAAGTGTGAAAACCGGTCATAAGTCCCTTTTTTTCAGTACCGTGTAACTTCGAACGGCCGCCAAGAGAAATGTTGTCAGTCTTCTTGCACATTTCTGTGCTCCAATCAAAATGTTGGTATGCCATTTCAGACAAGCGACTATCCAATCTCTTCTTGAAAATCTGTTCCGTCCCCAACCACACACACACACACACACCAATAGACGTTCAGGAGTTAAAGACCAAACCAGCCGGCAAAAACCTTTTCCTTATGATAACAGAACTTGGCAACAACCTAGTGGCTGCCTGCCAAGAGTTTATTATTTATGAAGAGGAGAGATAACTTCTCTCCGCTTCTGGTACATCAAAAGAAACAGCTCAATAATTACGGAGTTAATCAAGTCCAGAGATAATCCAGCAAAGTCTATAGCCAAAAGTCCGGCAATGCAGAATGGCGTGGAAGCTTTCAGCTTTGTTCGTCACAAGGTTTGACTGGCCACCACGCTCCCTTTTATCTCCTGTGGGGTGTGGTCCAGTGACTCAGCCTAATCTCGGGCACGCCTTTTCTTCTGTTGCGCGCGCTTATCTCTGCGACGCTGGCGTGGATCCAGCCAAGACTCATTACCCTCATCACTGTCCATCTCTGGCTGCGTGGACGTGCTTGGCCCCGGCCCTATCTCTTGCCCTTCGGCGGACACCGAAGGCATTGCCAGAGAGGAGGGTCCTGGAGAGGGAGGCCTTGCCAACTCCTCCCCTTTACTCTCGGAGTCCTCTCCTGATGATGACACAGGCTCCGGTAACGGAGCCACAACAAAATCTCCAGTGATGAAGCACCCACAACTTCTGGTGGCAAGCAGTTCCACAGGTTAATCGTTCTCACTGTCAGGAAGTTTCTCCTTAGTTCCAGGTTGCTTCTCTCCTTGGTTAATTTCCATCCGTTGTTTCTTGTCCTGCCTTCAGGGGCTTTGGAGAATAGCTTGACTCCCTCCCTCCTCTTCTTTGGGGCAGCCCCTCAAATACTGGAAGGCTGCTATTTGTCCCCTCTAGTCCTTCTTTTCTTTAGACTAGCCAAACCCAAGTCAGATTTTTGGGGGTTATATAAGTAAGTCAGAGGTGGCAAAAGTCCAAGGCTATTTTTCCTCACAGCTGCATATACAAATTTGATCCTTCCAAATGGAATGATTGTTTACAGAGTTGGAAGGGACCCTGGAGGTCATCTAGTCCAACCCCGTCCCAGCAGGAGACCCTTACACCAGTGACGGCGAACCTTTTCGGCACAGAGTGCCCAAACCGGATCACACCTGCATGTGCGTGCGTGTGTGCATGTCGGAGCGCTGGAAACCCAAAGACCAGCTGTCTGGCGTGCACATACCTGTTTTTTGGGCCTTTTTTGGCTGTTTTCAGGCTGTTTTTGGCCCCGAAAACGGCCTGAAAATGGCCCCAAAAAAGCTGGAAAACGGACCGAAAAGCAGCCTGTATTTTTGGCCATTTTTTGACTGTTTTCAGGCTGTTTTTGGCCCTGAAAATGGCCTGAAAATGGTGCCAAAAAAAGCCAGAAAACGGACTGAAAAGCAGCCTGTTTTTTGGCTATTTCTGGATGTTTTTCAGGCTGTTTTCAGGCCATTTTCCAGCGCTCCAGTGCCCGTGAAGACCAGCTGGCTGGCGTGCATCTGCGCACCGGAAACCAGAAAAGCAGCTGGCAATGGTGCGTGTGCCCACAGAGAGGGCTCTGCGTACAACCTCTGGCACCCGTGCTATAGGTTCGCCATCACGGCCTGTTCTGTCCCCATTCCACTCACGCACCCCCACAGACAGCCCGGAGTTAATAAGCCACACGACAAAATTCTTTGAAGAGAAAGCTGGCAGCAACCCAGTGGCTAGCTGCCAATTCAGACTTTACTCACACAAAACAAAGATTAGACTGCAAGCATTCCGATAAAGCAGGCAAAGTTTCAGCAATACAAGGATTAGTCCAAATGCAGTCCAACAAGGCAGGCAGAAGTCCAGTAACGCAGAGATCATGGATTATTTCTAGTTTTTGCTCGTCACAAACTGAACCGGCCACCACACCCACATTTATACCCTGTGGGGTGTGGCCCAGTGACTCAGCTAATCTCTGGCACGCCTTCCCCTCTGCTGTGCACGCTTCTCCCTGCGCCTCTGCCGAGGATCCAGCCAGCACTTATCTCCATCGTCGCTGTCCACCTGTGGCTGCGGGAACGTGCTTGGCTCTGAGCCTATCGTTTGGCCTTCGGTGTCCTCCGGAGGCATTGCCAGAGAGGAGGGTCCTGAAGAGGGAGGCCTTGCCAACTCCTCTCCCTCACTCTCAGAGTCTGCATCTGTCAATAGCCCAGGCTCAGGCAACAGAGCCACAACACGGCCCTACACCCTTTATGACCGAGAGCAGTCCAGTCTCTTCTTGAAAGCCTCCAGGGATGAAGCTCCTACAACTTCCGAAGGCAACTTCTCTTCCATCGGTTGAATGTCTCAAGAATCTCGTCTTGGAAATATTATCGGCTGAGCCAATTCTTTCTCTCTGAATTTATTTCGTCTCTGTTTCCCTTTCTACACCCCACCTCTCTTTTACAGGACAATTGCTATTACAGTGGCTATGTGGAGGGAGCCCCAGATTCTCAAGTTGTCCTCTCTACCTGCAGCGGACTTTGGTAATCATCATCATCATCATCATCATCATCATCATCATCTCATAATCTTTTGTGTAAATGCATATTTTCTTGAGGGCAGTTCAGATTTCACATACAGGTACCGTAGTCCTCAACTTACAACAGTTTATTTAGTGACCGTTCCATGTTACAACGGACCTGAAAAAAGGGCCGTTTTTCACACTTACGACCGTTGCAGGATTCCCCACAGTTACGTGATCAAAATTCAGAGGCTTGGCCACTGACTCATATTTATGACGGTTGCAACGTCCTGGGATCCTGTGATCCCGTTTTGTGACCTTCCGACAAGCAAAGTCAATGATGGGGTCAAATCCAGGAGCCTGGATAGCTCAACAGACTAAAAGCCTGTTATTAACATTCAGCTGTCTGCAATTACTGCGAGTTCAAATCTCGCCAGGCTCAAGGTTGACTCAGCCTTCCATCCTTTCTAAGGTAGGTAAAATGAGGACCCGGATTGTGGGAGCACTAAGCTGACTTTGTATAAATAAATATACAAAAGTATGAAGGCTATTGCTTAACGCCTTGTAAGCCGCCCTGAGTCTCCGGAGAAGGGCGGCATATAAATCATTTTTTTTAAAAAAAAAAAGTGAATTTCGATCACGTGACCATGGGGATGCCACAATGGTCATAAGTACGAAAAACTCTCATAAATCACTTTTTTCAGCGACATTGTAACTCTGAAGGATCACTAAACGAAATATTGTAAGTCAAGAACTACCTGTATTTTACTCAACCTTAACCAACCACGACTGAGTCTGGGCAGTTGACAATCATTGTCCCCAAATCTTCCTTCCCTTTCCCCCCCCACCCCCACCCTTTTAGGGGACATATACAATTTGACACCTTAACTTACAAAATTCAGCCGGTGGAAAATTCCTCTACGTTTCAACACTTGATTTACCGGAGCGATCCGGAGGCGCGAGATCCCTGCGCGGGAATCGCCCAAGATGGCGCCGACGGGCCAGGTAGAGAAATGAGAACGGTGAGGACTGATGAAGATCCAGATCTGTCCACCAGACAGGTGAGTGGGCTTCTCTGCCTGAAATCCACTGGAAAAACTGAGATTTGTTGAGCGGAATGCAAAGTTATCCTCCCTAAGAATATCACTCCTGACAGCCCTTCGAGCTAGGCCAGCTTAAACAACGGCCTGGCAGGGTTGCACACACGCACTGTTAAGCATTGTCTTCCAGCTTTGACAACTTGAAGGCAGAGGTGGGTTTCAGCAGGTTCTGACCAGTTCTGGAGAACCGGTAGCGGAAATTTTGAGTAGTTCCGAGAACCGGTAGTAAAAATAATGACTGGCCCTGCCCGCATCTATTCTTTGCTTCCCAAGTCCCAGCTGATCGGGAGGAAATGGGGATTTTGCAGTATCCTTCCCCCAGGAGTGGGGTGGGAATGGAGATTTTACAGTATCCTTCCCCTGCCACCCCCACCAAGCCACGCCCACAGAACCGGTAGTAAAAAACGTTGAAACCCACCACTGCTTGAAGGGGTGTGGATTTCAACTCCCAGAATTCCCCATCCAGCATCTTCAAGTTGCCAAGGTTGAGATAGACTGCTTTAGCGCTTCTAGGTTGCCAGTTGCTTTCAACTTATGACTGGTCGCTTAGCGAACATTCGAAGTTACGGCAGACTCCAGAAAAAGCTACATACGATCCAGATATGAAGTCCCAATAGCCGCTGCTCCCCCAGTCATGCGATCACATTTTACACACCTGGCACCTGTCCCAGGTATTTAAGGCTGTGGACACCTCGATGGTTACCACTACAATCATTAACCCTGCCTAACTACTTCCACTGGTTTCATTCCAGCAAGGTGACCGGAACCAGATGGGCAACCGATATCTAGAATATTATGCCGTTATTGACAAAAGCATGGTAAGTTTGTCACTGATCATTGTAGTTTATAGGAGATCTGGAAATTACAGAATCGCACAGTTGGAAGGGACCTTGGAGGTCTTCTAGTCCAACCCCCTGCTTAGGCAGGAAACCCTACAAGAGCCTTGGTGGCGCAGCAGACTAAAAGCACTGTTAAGTAGCACCAGCTGTCTGCAATTATTGCGAGTTCAAATCTCACCAGGCTCAAGGTTGACTCAGCCTTCCATCCTTCCGAGGTACGTAAAATGAGGACCCGGATTGTGGGGGCAATAAGCTGACTTTGTATAAAAAAAAGAACACCGCTTGGGGGGGGGGCGAAAGCCCTACTAAGCAGGTATATACAAAAGTATGAAGGCTATTGCTTAACGCATTGTGAGCCACCCTGAGTCTCTGGAGAAGGGCGGCATATAAATCGAACCAATAAATCGAAATCGAACCAATAATACACCACTTCAGACAAATGGTTGTCCAACATCTTCTTAAAAACGTCCAGTGTTGGAGCATTCACAACATCTGGAGGCAAGTTGTTCCACTGGTTAATTGTCCTCACCAGGTGTGTCAAACTCAAGGCCCGGGGCCCGGATTTGGCCCGTGAGATGCTTAGATCGGGCTCGCGGGGCCGCCCTGGAAACAGGAAAGGACCGGCCCGCGGTACCTCTGCCAGCAAAAATGGAGCTCAGGAGGGCCTCCTGAGCTCTGTTTTTGCTGGCAGAGGGTTGCAGGATGCCGACGCAGCCGAAAATGGAGCTCAGGAGCCCATTTTTCTCTGGCAGAATGCTTGGGCCAGCACAGGTGCCCCCAACACAAGTGACATCGAGCTGGCCATGCCCGCCCTGCCCCCCCCACAAGGTCAAACACAACCCTGATGTGGCCCTCAATGAAATCAAATTTGACACCCCAGGTCCTCACTGTCTGGAAATTTCTCCTTAATTCCAGGTTGCTTCACTCCTATCGTGTCCCCCACTAGTCTTTTTTTTTTTTCTTCATTAAAGGAGACGTACCCAATTCCTGCCACGTCATATGTCTCAGCCTCCAGTCCCCTAACCTTCTTTGTTGCTCTTCTCTGCACTTTTTCTAGAGTCTCCACATCTTTTTTACATCATGGCAATATAAAAAGATGGGAGCAGCCTGAGAGCTTCTTTTTTTAAAAAAAATTGGGGCCCAGTTGTGGAGTCTGGAAGACGTTCTGGATGGAAACAGGTCTTAAGTCCACTAAATTGTGGACAATCTACTCAAATGCAAGTTCTTAGATGTGCAGGGAATTTTAGTTATTTTTTCTTTTTAATTTAAATGAGTTATACAACCATCCACCTTACAGCAGTGTCATAGATAGATAGATAGATAGATAGATAGATAGATAGATAGATAGATAGATAGATAGATAGATGGATAGATAGATAGATAGATAGATAAAAGATAGATAGATAGATAATATGGATGGATGGATAGACAGATAGATAGATAGATAGATAGAGAGCGATAGATAGATAGATAGATAGATAGATAGATAGATAGATGGATAGATAATAGATAGATAGATAGATAGATAGATAGATAGATATGATGGATGGATGATGGATAGATAATAGAGTGATAGATAGATAATAGATAGATAGATAGATAGATAATAGAGAGATAAGAGAGGACGGATGGATGGAATACTAGGTATGTAGAGAGACAGCATCGATAATAGATAGATAGATAGATAGATAGATAGATAGATAGATAGATAGATTCTTTATTTGACCAAGTGTGATGGACACACAGGAATTTGTCTTGGTGCATAGGCTCTCATGTACATAAAAGAAAAGATACGTTCGTCAAGAACATAAGGTACAATGATAGTCATAGATAGATAGAAGATAGATAGATAGATAGATAGATAGATAGATAGATAGATAGATAGAATAACTTTACTGTCACTTCGAATGTACACTAATCGGCATAGATTAAAAGGAAATTTTAGGCTAGAATTTCCCAACCATGGCAACTTGAAGATGGATGGACTTCAATTCACAAGGCCGGCTGGGGAATTCTGGGGATTGTCTTCAAGCTGTGAAGATTGAGCAAAACTGCTGTCGGCATAGCACACGATTAAAACAGCCACAATATCCCAACGCCACTCAGCACCATCCGAGATGCAATAATCTCATTTTATTAAAAGCCACTCTAACCACTCACTAACCGTCTGACACAAACGCCTGCGGGGAACAGCGTGAATGCACTGTGTAAATATTTGGTCTTAAGCTGCCTGTTCTTTTCCTTCTCCTTCTCCTTAGTTTCTCCTCTACAGGGGCAACGAAACCGCTCTGGTGTCAGTCGTGTTTCACATGATGCTCCACGTTTACACAGTGAGTAGTTGCTTTGCGTCCCTTAAAATCGAAGGCAGATTCCCCTTTTGCAATTGACCGGTGGGGAATTTATATCAATGCCAACGTTGTTCAAGGGACGCCCCAGATGTTTCGGGATGGCACCCAAGCCACCTATCGCTATCAGTACAGGCCATCCTCGAGTTATGACCCCAATTGAGCCCAAAAATCTGGTTGCTAAGTGGGACAGTGGTTCAGTGAATTTCCTTGCCACATTTGTTAAGTGAATCACTGCAGTCGTTAAATGAGTCACATGGTTGTTAAGTGAATCTGGCTACCCCATTGACTGGGCTGGTCAGAAGGTCGCAAAAGGGGAACCCGTGACCTCAGGACACTGCAACCATCATAACTCTGAGTCGGTTGCTAAGTGAAACATTTGTTAAGTGAGTTTTGCCCCATTTTGCGACCTTCCTTGCCATCGTTGTTAAGTGAAGCATTGCAGTTGTTAAGTTAGGCACACGGTCGTTAAGCAAATCTGGCTCCCCCCTTGACTTTGCTTGACGGGAGGTCACAAAAGTGGATCATGTGACGTTTCGGACACTGTGACCGTCATAAATATGAACCAGTGGCCAAGCGTCTGAATTTTGATCATGCGACCACGGGGATGCTGCCAAGGTTGTACGTGTGCATTCAATCAATCAGCATGCAGCTGGAAGGGACTTTGGAGGTCATCTAGTCCAGCCCCCTGCTCCAACAGGAGACCTATACCGTTCAGAAGAAGAAAATAACAGAGTTGGAAGGGACCTTGTAGGTCATCTAGTCCAACCCCCTGCTCAAGCAGGAGACCCTATATCCGGGATGGGGAACCTATGGCACGCGTGCCACCGGTGGCACACGGAGCCATATCCGCGGGCACACGAGCCGTTGCCCTAGCTCAGCTCCAGCACGCATGCGCGCGCCAGCCAGCTGATTTTCGGCTGGCCCCACCCATGCCACCCCTTCCCTCCCCGGAGTCTCCATGCGGCCCGTTTTGGATGCCAGGTAAGTACAGGGCTTGCACAGAGGCTCTGGGAGGGCTTTTTCGGCCTCCGGTGGGATGTGGGAGGCTGTTTTCACCCTCCCCAGCCTCCAGGAAAGCCTCTGGAACCTGGGGAGGACGAAAAACAGGCCTACCAGGCCCACCGGAAGTTGGGAAATGGGCTGTTTCCGGCTTCCAGAGGCTTCAGGTAGGCCTGCTAGGCCCAAAACAGGGTGCAGGGGGGTCTCACACACATGCATGGGGGGCAAGGCATGTGGGGGCATTGAATTATGGTTGTGGGCACGTGCACGTGCGATACCCCTACGCTCCCCTCTGCTCTTGGCACGCGACGGCAAAAAGGTTAGCCATCACAGCCCTATATCAATTTTGTCCAGTGACTGTGGAGTCTCTTCTCGAAAACCTCCCGTGATAAAGCACCTGCAACATCTGGAGGCAAGTAGTTCCACTGGTTAATTGTCCTCACTGTTAGGAAGTTTCTTCTCAATTCCAGGTTGCTTCTCTCTTTGATGAGTTTCCATCCGTCGTCGCTTCTTGTCCTGCCTTCGGGTGCTTTGGGGAATAGGTTGACCCCCTCCTCTTCTTTGTGGCAGCCCCTGAGATATTTTCTCTAGACTAGCCAAACCCAATTCCTGCAACCGTTCTTCGTTTTTTTTTTTAGCCTCCAGTCCTTTAATCATCTTAGTTGCTCTTCTTTGCACTTTTTCCAAAGTCTCAACATCTTTTTTGTAATTTGTGGATGCAAAAAACCTGGGTGCAGTGTTAAGGATATTGTTGTTGTGTTACCAACCAGCAGAGTGTAGAGCACAGAGAAACGTTGCTGAGAGCAATGAATAAGAGATGTGCAAACTGGTTTATCAAAAGTTTACTTTACAGTGAAAAAACAATCTCATAGTCTTTTAAATCAATCCAAGTCTTTGCCAGTTAAATCAGTCCAGCGATACAAAAACTCTTCTTACCACACAAACAGTAGTTGGTTAGAATAACAAACTCACTCTGGTTCACAAACCACGATGGTAGCAGATCCATCCAACCGATGATAGCACAATGGAAGCAACTCCTCACACAATGGTAGCATATCATCAAACTGAATACATTACAGTACCTTTCTTAAATACATTCACAACCTGTGATTATCTAATTACAGCATGACTCAGCATTACAATGAATCAGCAGTAAAACTTTAAAGTCACACAATACATATTCCTATTAAAGTCACAGAACACATATATTGCCTGGACAACTTGTTAGGCTCAAACCATATCCTAACATGCAGCATTCCAGGTGTGGCCTTACTAAGGTTTTATAAAGCGGTGGGGGTTTTTTTTCCCCTTTTTCTCTTTTCTCATCCTCAGATCTTCCTCCCGCTCGGCCTCCACGTTTATCTGGTCGGCATGGAGATCTGGACGGACAAAAACTACATAACCATCCATCCTCACGACCTGTCGGCGAACCTGAACGCTTTTTATAAGTACGTCCGGTACAATCTTCGGCATCGCGAGCATTTCGACCACGCGGGTTTAATGACGTAAGCATTCCCTCTCTTCCCTTGGGAAAAAATGACCAGGTGGGCTTGAATGAGCATTACCTGATTTTGAGGGGGGGAAGGGATTTGGGGATTAGCAATGGCCACGTGTTTATTTTATTTTGTTTTTTGTTATTGTATTTTTATTGCTAGGCCACCATCACAAGTTACGACAGTGATGGGCAGGTTCCATTACGGTCGTAACTTGAGGACTACCTGTGCAATGAAGCTGCAACAAATAGGAATTTGTTGCAACGGTATAACCCAACATTTCCTCATACCTGCCCTGGACTCTGTCTGCACCTTCCCAGAGTAGGAAAACCCTACGATGTGGAATAGCATCTCTAGCAAAAATTATTAATGTTTACTCAATTCCTGACTTTAAGAGCTGTGGTCGCGCAGTGGTTAGAGTGTAGTAGTGCAGGCTACTTCTGCTGACTGCCGGCTGCCAGAAGTTTGGCAGTTCAAATCTCACTGGCTCAAGGTTGACTCAGACTTCCATCTTTCCGAGGTCGGTAAAAGGAGGACCCAGATTTTGGGGGGCACGAAGCTGACTCTATAAACCACTTAGAGAGGGCTGAAAACAGGGGTGAAATCCAGCAGGTTCTGGAGAACCGGTAGCAGAAATTTTGAGCAGTTCGGAGAACCGGTAGCGGAAATTTTGAATAGTTTGGAGAACCGGCAAATACCACCTCTGGCTGGCCCCAGAGTTGGAAGAGAATGGGGATTTTGCAGTATCCTTCTCCTGGAGTGGGGAGGGAATGGGGATTTTGCAGTATCCTTCTCCTGGAGTGGGGAGGGAATGGAGATTTTGCAATATCCTTCCCCTGCCATGCCCACCAAACCACACCCACCGAGCCACACCATGCCCACCAAGTCACATCCACAGAACCGGTAGTAAAAAAAAATTGGATTTCACCACTGGCTGAAAAGCACTGGAAAGTGGGATATAAATCTAAGTGCTATTGCTATTTAACCAAAGATCTCATCCTGTGCTCCAACACCCACTCCTCATTTTTTAACAGAAATAGGCCAATATTCATAACATTGATATAAGAAGATAAAGAGTAGGGGGAGGAGGCAATCGTGCATGGGAAGATGACTCCAGAGATAGTTTTTCTGGTGCTTACCACTCTGCTGTCCCACTCCCACTTACACACACACACACACACACACACACACACACACACACACACTAACTGTGGTAGGGGTGAAATCCAGCAGGTTCTGACAGGTTCTGGAGAACCGGTAGCAGAAATTTTGAGCAGTTCAGAGAACCGGCAAATACCACCTCTGGCTGGCCACAGGAGTGGGATGGGAATGGAGATTTTGCAGTATTCTTCACCTGCCATGGCCACCAAGCCACGCCCACAGAAAAAAAATTAGTAAAAAAATTGGATTTCACCACTGGTTTAGTGGGTTTTGTTTTTTTAATTTGATTTATATGCCGCCCTTCTCCGGAGACTCAGGGCAGCTTACAAGGCGTTAAGCAATAGCCTTCATCCTTTGGGTATATTTATACAAAGTCAGCTTATTGCCCCCACAAACTGGGTCCTCATTTTACCTACCTTAGAAAGGATGGAAGGCTGAGTCGACCTTGAGCCTTGGAGAGATTCGAACTTGCAGTAATTGCAGACAGCTGGTATTAAATTACAGTGCTTCTGTCTGTTGAGCTATCCAGGCTCCTTATTAATATATTATTAATATATATAATTGATTAATATTCCCCCACAACAGGGGTGGGTTCTACTTACCTTTACTACCAGTTCGCAACAGGATGTTTAGTCATACCAGATGCTCTTTTAGGACCTCTTTCCAGAGCACGATACCATAGTCTTTCGAGACTATGTCAGTTGCCAATGGACAGCAGACGTCAGCGTACAATATCAGGAACGCAGAAGCAATATTCATAGAAGCGAGTCATTACAGAGTAGAGAGATACAGAGCAGTGGTGGGTTGCTCCCGATTCGTACCGGTTCGCACGAACCGGTAGTAAAAATTTGTAGTAGTTCGGAGAACCGGTAATAACATTGGCTGGCCACGCCCCCAAACCAGTCCCCGGCCCGGTCTCCGCTCGCTTACCCCGCCCACCTCATCAGAGGCTTTTTTTTACTTCTAAAAGCATTTTTTCTACAACCTCTTCAGCCGAAAAAATGCTTTTAAAAGTAAAAAAAAAAAGCCTCTGATGATCGCGCGGCTCAGCTGAGATCGTCAGAGGCTTCTAAAAGCATTTTTTCTACAACCTTTTCGGCCGAAGAGGCTGTAGAAAAAAAAAAACTTTAAAAGCCTCTGGCGATTCCAGCTGAGTTGCCTGATCGTCAGAGGCTTTTAAAAGCATTTTTTTTCTGCAACCTCTTAAGGTTGTAGAAAAAATGCGTTTAAAAGTAAAAAAAAAAAAAAAAGTTGGCCATGCCCACCCAGTCACATTACCCCCCCCACCAAGCCACGCCCACAAATAAGCCACACCCACAGAACCGGTAGTAAAAAATTTTAGAACCCACCCCTGATACAGAAGGTATATATTGTACAGAAGCACCAAAGTTTTACAGAGGCCAGACCAACTCTTATATACAGTTCAGTAAGTCTAAGCCACGCCCAGGCTCCTAACTGTCTCTTATGGCCCCATACAAACAAATACTCTGTTTCAGTTTCCAAACAGTCCCCATTGGCTGACCTGTTACCATGTCTATTCCAGTCTATGAACATTCATATTCTGACAATCACGACCGCCAACCTCTTTCTTTGTATTTTCCCTCAGGGGGAAAGAAAAAACCGTATCCTCCTTTTTGTGATGTTTTAGGGCAACCGGGGATCTTCCTGGACTTTCGTGGGGGGAACGATTTTGCCATCCCTCTCATGTCTCCGTGAGCGTCATCCAGGTAGGGGGGGTTTCTCCGTCTCCGATTCCTTTTGCATCTTTGGTTCAACGGTACTTGTTTCCATCAGTGTGGGTGCCAGAGCAGTTTGAATGAAGGTTGTGTGACATGACAGCAATATTCCAATATTTGAGGGGCTGCCACAAAGAAGGGGGGGGGTCAACTTATTCTCCAAAGCCCCTGAAGGCAGGACAAGAAGCGACGGATGGAAACTCATCAAGGAGAGAAGCAACCTGGAATTAAGGAGAAACTTCCTGACAGTGAGTTCAATTAACCTGTGGAACAGCTTGCCACCAGAAGTTGTGGATGCTCCATCACTGGAGGTTTTGAAGAAGAGATTGGATAGTCAACTTGTCTGAAATGGTATACTATACTTTGGAAAATAAGTTGACCCCCCTCCTCTTTGTTGCAACCTCTCAAATACTGGAAGACAGATAGTCCTCGACTTACAACAGTTCATTTATTGAACTGTTCAAAGTTACAACGGCACTGAAAAAAGTGACTTATGGCCATTTTTCACACTTACAACCATTTCAACATCCCCCATGATCAAAATTCAGCCGCTTGGCCACTGACTCGTATTTATGACCGTCGCTGTGCCCCAGGGTCACGTGATCCCCTTTTTGCGGCCGTCTGACAAGCCCAAGTCAATGGGGAAGCCAGATTCACTTAATGACGGTGTTACTAACTGAACAACTGCAGTGACTCACTGAACATCCGCAGCAAGGAAAGTTGTAAAACGGGGCAAACTCACTTAACAAATATTTCACTTAGCAACACAAATTTTGGGCTCAATTGTGGTCGTAACTGGAGGCCTACCTGTATTGCTGTCATGTCCCCCCTAGCCCTTCTTTTCTCTAGAGCAGGGGTGGGCAAATGGGGCCCTTTTACAACCTGTGGACTTCAACTCCCAGAATTCCTGAGCCAGCGCTGGCTGAGGGATTCTGGGAGTTGAAGTTCACCCATCTTCAAGCTTCCAAGGTTGAGAAACACTGCTCTGGACCAAGCAAACCCAAATCTTGCAACCGTTCTCCATATGTTTTTGTCTCCAGGTCTTTAAATTTAAATTTACAGGTAGTCCTCGACTTACAACAGTTCATTTAGTGAACTGTTTCCGTGCCATTGTTTAAAGTTACAATGGCACAGGAAAAAAAGCGACTTAGACCATTTTTCCCACTTACAACCATCCCCACAGTCATGTGATCAAAATTCAGAAGCTTGGCAGAGTCATATTTACGACGGTTTTTAATTTTATTTTTTATTTTATTTCGAATTTATATACCGCACCTTCTCCCGAGGGATTCAGGGCGGTGTACAGCCAGCTAAAAACATACAATACAAACATTAAAAACAATTAAAAGGATACATGTTAATTTGGCCCCAATTTAAAATGACAAACCAGTTAAAAATGTTTTTTTAAAAAATGTTATGTTAAGCCAGGTTGCAGCGTCCCCAAGTCACATGATCCCCTTTTTCGACCTTGTGATTCCCTTAACAAGCGCAGCGATTCCCTTAACAACTGTGGGAAGAAAAGTCGTAAAATGGGGCAAAACTCACTTCACCACCGTCTCGCTGAACAACAGGAATTTGGGACTCAATGGTGGTCGTAAGTCGAGGACCCCCTGCGTCGACCAACATATTCCCCTCCCGTCCTCTTGTCTCACGGTGCTCAGATACGTAAAAACCCTCGATTTGATGCCGAAACCATCGCCCACCAGCTGGGACATTCCCTGGGCTTCACGCACGATGACGCACATGCGAATTTAGCCCGAAAATGCGACTGCAACTGTACGGTCTTTGGCAGCTGTTTGATGATGACTTCGGGCCCGGCGTAAGTTGCCCCTGGCGTCTCGTTCTTACTATTTCACCTTTCTCTCTCGGGCCTCCATGGGGGTCCCCTTAATTACGAAACAGCTTTCCCCCAGAGGTGGGTTTCAGCAGGTTCCGACCAGTTCTGGCGAACCGGTAGCGGAAATTTTGAATAGTTCGGAGAACCGGCAAATGCCACCTTTGACTGGCCCCGCCCCCATCTATTCTCTGCCTCCTGAGTCCCAGCTGATCGGGAGGGAATGGGGATTTTGCAGCATCCTTCCCCCGATGTCCTGAGTAGCGCGGTCCTTAAGTGAACCTGGCTTCCCCCTTGCCTTTTCGGGTTGTAAGGCGAGAACTTCAAAAGTTGTGGGAGCTTCATCCCTGGAGGCTTTCGAGAAGAGACTGGACTGCCATCTGTCAGAAATGGTGTAGGGTCTCCTGCTTGGGCGGGGGTGGGGTTGGACTAGATGACCCCCAAAGCCCCTCCCAACTCTATTAAATCTGTTAACTGTTCTGTTATCTATTAATTACCAGTATATTTGTTATATGCTATCTAAAAAATAATTTGGGATTTGGGATTTGGGATTTGGGATTTGGGATTTGGGATTTGG